AGGTTAGTAATACTGAAGCCAGTGGTGCTGGAAATTTAGCACTACAGCTGTGTGAGAACTACCGTCAGATAGCTAAGCCTTTGAAAGTGCTTTGCCAGTTTGCAGACAGCACTGTGCGTGTAGCAACTACAGCATGAGGCTGTAAAAAAGTAAGTGTGCCTTTTGAAAAGAAAGAACATGCTTGCAGTCCTAATGGCATGCATGCCTGAGACTCTCTGGCTTTGCAGATCTCTCAATGCACACAAGTCACATAACTGCTGGGAAATTTCAGTGATAACTTTTGAATCTATTACTCACATGCTCATGAGTCTGCTGTGGCAGGATGGCTGAAAAGTTGTATTCTGTATTATAGAATGTGTCTGATTTGGTACTTCAACTGTATACAAACTTGGTGAAAACAACAGAGATTTAGTGCAGAGTCTTCCAATATATCTGATTTCCAATATTTCTCTCCAATATAGGTATGTGATGAGCCTCATCCTCTGCTTGTGAAAGAAATGATACAACATTGCATCAATGCAAACATTGATGAGGCATACAAGGTTGGTTTTCAGGCGTTGAGTCAGCTTACACACTTTTCCTCTATAGAATTCTTGTTTCCATTGAAGAATTCACAATGTGTGTTGTTTCTTTTAAGGTAGGAGTAATGCCACATAATTAAGGTGATGAATTAAATACTTTCTTATGCAGGGGGTTGTTCAGATGAATAAGCCAACAAGCTAAAAAATAAGTTGTATTGAAATTACTTGCTAAACAGTTGATGTTAAATCATCTGATGAACGGTAGATGTGGTTCCAGTAGCGATATCCAGCTGTTCCAAAAGTGAATAGACTTGACTCATCTGGGAAGTTTTGCAGATAAATGAGGGATTATTCTTGCCTGCACAGATTCTTGCCCACCTGTGGCGACTTGGATACGCTCCAGAAGATGTGATTGGCAACATCTTCCGTGTGTGTAAAACCTATCAAATGCCAGAATATCTGAAACTGGAATTTATCAAGGTTAGTACTAACACACTAATGTTAGCGTGGGGTCTGGTGGGGTCTTCTGGGCCTTCTTGAGAAGAGGATGTGATCCTGAGGGGCAACCTCAGGGTTTTTCAGTTGGAGATTTGCTATATATTAGTGCAAAAAAGGTCTTTCTTAACTCATGACTTTCTTTCCCACTCTGCATCATCAGTTTGTCAGTAAGAATGGTCACATGAAGTTTAACGTCTGACCACCCCCAGAAGCATCAAAAGTCACCTTAGTGATCAGCTACAATTGATATAAAACGTAATGCTGGCTGAATTTATTATGTATATCAAAGCCTCAGATAACTCGAGAACTTTCCTGAAGCTCATAGCTGATTCTAGTCAAATAGATAATACTAAACTATAATACCATTATATTAACAGCCAATTGACAAATAGTAAATCTGGTGTAATGGAAACACTGTTCATATTTAAAACCTGTACTCAAACGTATGCACATTGCTTCTTATAAAGGGAGTGGGGAAATACAGGCTTTGATTTAAAAGAAAACCCAAAGGTACGCTAGTTGTTTTACAAAAGAAGATGCACTTCTCTGAAGTCTGAATGACTTAAAGTTGGTCTCTTAGCAATAAGGGGTATGTTCTATTTAGCCATTAGTCGTACTGTACATAGACTGGGGGAGGAAACAGAGAATTTTACAATGTCTTTATCACCAGGAAATCGGGTATACTCATATGAAGATAGCAGAAGGGGTGAACTCACTTTTACAAATGGCTGGGCTGCTGGCAAGGCTGTGTCAGAAGACTGCAGCCCCTGTAGCAAGTTAGATTACTTCACTGAGCTGAAGCTTCTGTTCCAGAGAGTGAAGGCCTGGTGTGCAAGGTCAGTAGCTCTGCATGTGTCCTCAGTCCTGCAAGCCTGGTCCCTCAGTTTTACTGACTCACAAACAAATAACCAGCTTCTATTGTAAAAATGTTTTGTACTTTTTTACTTAGACCAATAAAGCTTTACCATTTACTTTAACCCAAGAACTCTTTCGTTATATAACTGAGGTAGAAGGAGAGGTCTGTGGTGTGCTCAGCAAAACTGCTGATGTCAGAAGTACAAAGACCTAACAGCAGGAGAAACAAAGACTGAATTGCGTTGTTAGTGATTACACTTAGAGCCTGGTCAGGAGTGGTCTTACTGAGACCAAGAAGGAAAAACTTTGGCACAAAATAAGACATTTAATGAAGTTACAATTGAGGCAAGCTGAGCAGTGCCACTCCTGGGGTGCTGTTCATGGGCTGCGGGTCAGGAAGAGACTTTCACCAAACACAGAGGAGAAATTTTACACATTTCTTAATATATTTTGGATATTCCTTAGCAATCTTTAAAAACTTACCAAATTCTGGGATGCTCCATGTTTGAGTGTCCTTTTCTGTTCTTGCTTGTCCATGTTAGATAACGTCATTTCGCTATAGTTTCAGCATACCAAAAAGCTACAGCATCATGCTTTCTTGTCTGTTCTGTTTTGGAAATCACCTTGCCAGTGCAGAGGAGCAATAAAGCATGAAGAGCAGAGTGAAAACAGATATAAATTGAATTTGACCACCTCCGTATCAGATGCGAGATGTGTGTCTCCAAGCAGAGCCATCTTAATATAATTAAGCAAATTCTACTTGCAGCATTCAAACAGAACACAGTAGAGGTACAAGTTTTGGGTGCCTGCACTTCCCCCTACTCATCCTGTTGACATTTTGCACCCCAAATACTGAATTGCCCACACCACAGCTGTGTCACTGCCAAACTGATCTTCACTGCAGCGTCAGTTTTGGGCTTCAGCCCAAAGCCCAGCCCCTGCTTCAAGGTAGAGGCTGCATGCACCCTCCCTTTCTCTGACTTGGCCACAAGGGTAATGAGATTTGGCAGCAAGAGCTTGTAGCATCGAAAGTTGCCCCATCAAGACTTTCTGCAGCCCCTCTGACAGAGCCTGAAGACAAGCCTATTTAATCCAATGTGCAGGAGAGCAAGTTAAGTGGCAGCTAAAGTGCTGGCACATTTGAGCTTGTTCCAAAATGGAATAAAGCAAAGAAGCTCTTAGAATAATGGATGCAGTAATCAGAAGTACATTTTTCCTTCACTAGGTATTTATTGGACTTACCTCTTGATTTTCAGCCAGTGAAATGTCCCTACTAGCACAAACACTGTTAAATACATGACTAATAATTTAGTATGAAGGGGCTTAAACTGCCGAGTTCTCTACAGATGCAGAAACTGCAATCAGGCACATTTAAAGAGCAAGTCATTTTTCTCTGGCTGTACATCACAGCCAGCCTACCCTGTCTTTGCTCTCTAGTTCAATATGATCATTGCTGAACAGGGAAAGAAGTGGTACTGCAAAGTTTCATAAAATACCCAAAGTTGTATTGGGAGGGCTCATGAGGCTGGGCCTTGCCCCACTGGATGTACATATAATCCTGCCCAGGCATTATCTGCTCTTCTGTGCTGATGCCAGCGGAAGGGTGAGAAACATGTAGGGTCTGTTCCTACCTGGTGTAAGTGGTTTTCTTCTCAACTATATTAGAGTCATAGAATCATTTTGGTTAGAAAAGACCTTTAAGATCGAGTCCAACCATTACCCAGGCACTGCCAAGCCCACCACTAAATTGTCTCTCAGAACCACATCTGCAAGCTCATTAAATCCCGTCAGGGATGGTGACTCCATCACTGCCTCGAGCAGCCTATTCTGGTGCTTGAGAACCCTTTAGGTGAAGATATTTCTCCTAATATCCAAACCACATCTCCCCTGGTGCAACTTGAGGCCATTTCAAGTAGCTGCATTTCACAGCTCCACTTTGGAGCCAGCTCTCTTCTGGGCTAATCCTTTGCTGCACTGTGGCATATAATCATACTTTTCCTAAGAAGAACAGTATCAGCCCAAGAGGCCACCGACACAGTCTGTTCTACCAAAGGTGGCTGCTCACCCCCCTCTCTGAGGGCAGAGCTTCTGCTTTCCAGCAGCTGGCTCAGGTTCCCCAGTTCCATTCAAGAGATGCACCAGCAGTGCCAAACTTACTTCTCTAATGCATCTTAAATTGAAAACAGGAAGTGAATTGCTCACTTGGCTGCCTACCTAGTGTGAGGAGAGAGCTGCATGCACCCAGGGGAGATGTCATCTCTCCTTGCGTTATGTTTAGACAATACAGGCTCTGGCAGATATGGTTGAGCACCAGAAATCCTCTCACACCTAAAACATCCTGGAAGGACAGTGTGTCGGTGAACACACTCACATGTACATACCCAGTGCAAGCAAAATCCATACGGTTTTTCAGAACACAGCTGTAATCAGTGCAATGAAAGTTCCTGTACAGCCCCTGGGTATGTTTCAGCGTGATGAGGTGACTGGCTGAAAAAGCACTTGAGGAGCTTTACAAAGCTAAGAACAGATTTGCCCCTGGCTACAACCGGCTGTTCTGGAGGGATGCAAGGGGGGGAATTGCTCAGACTCCCAGTAGGACAAGGGAAGACGCTGCAGACCCAGCTCCTGCCCTGCCTTCTTCGGCTCCACAGTTTTCAAACTCAGGTTTGGCAATGGAGGAACCTTATTCCAGGAGCAAATATTTAGTGTAATCCATGTCCCTGCTTCGCAAGGCAGTAAACCTTGTACTGTAGTGTTCACCTAGCAGCTAGAACTTTCTGGGAGCTCTCTAGCTGGGTCTATTAAAGCATGCCAAGGATCTTTTTCTGCTGCTAATCTTCTCCCAATCATTTAATGGCTCCCTCCAGTTAGGACATGAATCAGCAGTAGGTGTAACATCACTGCACATCACTGGAAACGGAGCTTGTCCTTCCCCTCCAGCAAAAAATCCACAGTCTGCAGCACTTCATGGAAAAAGTGGGAAGTTCTTTGCGTGCTGAGTTAGTCACCACAGATGAACCAGTGGTGACAACCACATGGCCCTGCAAGCAGGAACAAATACATTTGTATGAGCTACAAGGCTTCTGCTAAGCTAAACTCCAACCTTCCTGCTGTTTCAGCGCACAAACTAGCCACCCATGATCTAGACATACAGCCAAGTCATTTGCAGCAGGAAGCAGCTGACAGCCCCTTCTCCCTCTCCAGAGCCTGTTCACCCTTAGCTCCATTTCTCTGCTCACTCTTACCTGTCTTGAATAAGTGTATGTGAGCTGTGTCCCTTCCTGAAGCAGTTTTCTGAACTGATTTTAAAGAAGGTGGCTTTTAAGGAGCTACATTTTCTCCCCATCAGATCCTATGCATCATTCCATGTCATAGAATCATAGAATAGTTAGGGCTGGAAAGGACCTTAAGATCATCATGTTTCCATCTCTGTCTCACCCAACCACTCAGACAAAATCTGCATCATAGCAAGCCATAATAAACCACTGCATTCTCTTTGGAGGCCTTTCAACTTTAATAAATAAGTGGTAAAACGGTGCCAAATCTGTGCCTTAGGGCTCAAGAGACAAGGACTGTGTTTCAGGGCTGATGTTCCTACAGCACGACTAAAAAGACTTGGTGCAGTTTCTCAGGCTGGCAGCTGTGGATCTGACCTTCTCAGCTGTTCCAGGGTCTTTGTATTGTTATAAAACAGATAGTGAAACACAAGGAAAACTGCCATGGATACTGTGAATTACAGGCTGTGGATAAGGCAGGGATTTAATCCTCTTTAGCTCTGGTGAACAGGTTCATATGACATTTAGCTCCAGAGAACCACTGCTGTTGTAAAAGCAACCACTGCCTTGCCAGTTCCTCTCTTGTAGGAAACTGCTTCTGTGGGAGAGCATAGGAACTAAATCAGAACAAAATCCCTATGCCTTAATACCATCATGCATGAGTCACCCTGACAAATTAAGTAGCTGGCTGCATTACTGCTCAGCAATTTAAACATTCATTTCATGCTTGACAGGAGAAAACATTGCACAGAGTGGCCATCCTCCTTCCAGTAGACATGCAGGGAAATGAGATGGGAAATGGCCCGTGGCCACTGAGTACTTTCTCCAGTTGCAGGTTTGCAGTTGGACTTCCATGGGACTTCAAGCAGAGCATTGCTTCCTTTTAGTGGCACCTTCTGCATGATCTTGGGCACAGTTTGGTGAAGAGATTCCCCTGAGGGATGGAAATCCCCGTGTGTGCTCACTGGTGTGCTCCTACAGCTCAGCTAAGGACTTCTTCAGGCTTTACACAGAGCACTTGAAATGAGAGGGGGGTAAAAATAGTGAGTCCATTGACTTTTAATCCCAGCTTTCAACTTCTTAACTCTGCTGCTCGCTACATTGTGTTTCTAGGGCAAAAAGCAGGGCCACACTATGGCTAACACAGAAATGTAATCCCCCCGCCTCACAAGCTCTCTGTGGAAGAGGAATAGATGCAGAACTGCTTATAAAAGTTACTATTAGAGCACTTTTATCACTGTTTCATGGCTAATCTTCCCTGCCAGCAAGGGGCAAAGCTCCCACAAAGCTCTCTTTGGCATAAACCAAATCCTCCCACCCCCAAATAAATACATCAACCACTGGCTCTCCTTTACCTTTGCTTTGCCAGCGGGGCAGGGCCTGATGCAGGAGCTGTGTTGACATAGTCTGGCTCATCATCCAGGCTTTCTGTCTGCAGAGCTGCAAGTGAGGGATGGGAAGCACTGATCAGTGAGTGGGTTGATCTAAAAACACATTCACACCATAGACATGCTCTGTGCTCTGCCAGTGTTTAGCCTTTGGTGACAACGTGGCTTTGTGCCTGGGCCAAGAAACCTCAGATCAGCATCAAGGTCTCCTTGAAAGGGATTCAAAATGGTCACAGCAAGCAGTGAGCTTAGACAGCTTTTCAGAGCCAAAAGAGATGACTTAGATTTAGTTTAGAGAAAGTGTGCAAATAGGATAACAAAAATCACTTTACTTACACAGCTTCCAGTCCAGAGACAGAAAACTCTTATATATGCATGTATATGTTCACCACTATCTCCCAGGCCAGACTACAAATAAGCTTCATAGGAAGCCACATGTTAAACTGCTGTTTAAAGGTTAGCTTAAGAAATGTGAACCCCTGACTACTGCAGGACAGTGTTGGGCTGACCAGTGTTGCTCAGAGTGTTGGGATGTGCGTGCTGCACATTTCTCTGTCAAAGGGGATTACAAGGCTGAGCTTGCACGAGGGCAACTTCAAAACCTAAGAGGGTATAAGACATGAAGAGCAGCGTCCTCCTGCAGCATCCCATGGTCAGGGTTTAGGCACAGCCACCTACAGAGTAGCCTTTTGAGTACTGGAAACACCACATCCCCCCACAGCAGTATTCAAGTACGAGTTCGTGTACCCATTTGCACATTGCCATATGTGTTAAGCACGGATGACTGGGAGGGCAAATAAGACGGGAGCAATGACTGCATTGCTGTGAGCATGGTCTGTACTGCTCAAGAGCCCATGAGCCACGTTCCTGCTTAGCAGACAATTGCTGGGAACATACCTTCTGCTTGATGGAGTTGCCATGTGTATATCGCCGAGCTGTTCTCGTAGTCTGCAGCATCATCTGTGACCAAGAAGAGTTTGGACAGGATGATGCTAAACGGCAAAGGGACTAAAAATGGGCCTTTGTGACACCCCCCCTTCTACCGCCCCATGCACGTGGCTGAGTTTCCAGCCAGGCGTCTGCTGTCCTGCCCTACATCTGCTGATGCTGCCTCACTGCTTTTCCAGCCTCAACCACGTGCCTGGGTATCTGCAGGCACAGATGGGATCAGGCTGGTCCCTGCTGCTCCTGCCTCCCCTAATTCCTCCGGCGGAAGCAGGGCAGGCTTTAGCACTGCAGAAAGTGTTGTGTTCAGTCTCTGACAGAAACCAAATTGACTTCCTATTCTGATTGCAACATCCCAGGGCAGAAGCTGGAAGCCCTTAAGCTGACATTGTGGTCCAGTGCCACCCTCCAGCAGCTCACTGGCTGCAGGCTTCTTGGGCTGGACATGGTGACAAACCCCATGGTGAGCTGGGGGCTACAACTGTGATCAGAATTGGCTGTAACAGCACTCAAAACCTCGAGGAGCAATGCAGATCCCAAACTGCTGCAGAAACCTCCAAGTCAAAGGGATCAGTTGGAGATGAGCTCTCATCCCCTAAGTATTATCACATGCATCTTCCTGCAGCAAGCAGAAACACTTCAGGTCTGCTTTGTGCCTGCAGCAGCCCTGGCACCCTGGCTACAATAGGAAGAGCTGAGCCTGTGAATGAGGAGGGTTTCCTGAGCTGAGCAGGTCACCCTCCCTCTCTGCACTCCCAGGTGTGTGTGACACACGTGAACCACAACAGCAGCACCTACCCACATCCGAGCCCTGAGACGCTCCAATGATGATGTTTTGGTAGGAATGGGAATCCTCCTCTTTTTCTGGTGGAGAGAAGAAAGGGGAGGGGACAAAGGACAGAAGGAAGAGTAGGTGAAGATCCCTCAGCACCTGCAGGAGAGGGCTGTTTCCCACAGAGAAACACACATTAGGTAAAAACCCATCAGTCTTTGTGACAGCCTGCGCTGACCCAGGGATGAGGCATCCCCAGCGTATGGGTCATTGAAGCACCATGGGAGCACCATCACCAACAGCATGGAGCCACCCAAGGGCAAGCAGTGGAAGCTGGTCCTGAGGCACCAGGACTTTCCCTATGGCCAGGAATAAACACAATAAGCATAATTACCAGCCCTACAGCAGCCCTGAGGTGAACAGGGGAAGGTGAGGAGTGAATCCCCAGGCTCCCAGCCCAGCCTGGCAGTCAGAAGGAGCTTTTCCTTCCTGTGGAGCATTAAGTTTGCAACCGTGAAGTCTTCTTGGGCTTGTTCTTAGTTTCTAGGAAGGAAACTGATCCCCATTCCAAGCACATCAAACCTAACAGCATCTGGAACCAAAATCAGCTAGGAGTAATTTAAAACTCCCAATGCCTTGTTCTGTTGCTGCTTATTTCAGCCCTGGATGGGCCCATGAGGAGCTGAACCATATATTACTAACCTCCAAACCTGCACCCACTGATGCCAACACCACCACTGACACACAGCACTTGGTGTGGACATGGCCCCTAAGCTGGGAAACTTTACAGACCCCATAAGCACCACTGTGGCCCATGCTGGGACCCTCAGTGCTTCTCCAAAGCCTCACTGAAGGGGAGCAACACCGAGCTCAGCCAGGACAGGCAGTCCCTGACGGGTGAGGGCTCTGCTGTCTAAAACCATGCCGGGCAGGAGGGGAGGGCATTAGCCAAAGGAGCCACTGAGCCCAGCTCTGCAGCAGCTTCACACATGCATTGGCTCTAGGCAGCCCTCAGCCCCTGGAAAAGCATTAAAACTAATAAGGGATACAAACCCATTCATGTTAATAACAGTGCAGTTTCTCCCCCTCCAGCCTCTTCTTTTAAATAAGGTAAATTTTTTGGTAAGCAAGGTATTTTTCCTATTTTTTTTTAATCTCTTTTTTTTTTTTTTGTGGCCCCCCCCCCCCGCCTCTTTATATAAAAATAGGATTCCTGCTTTGAAATTCATTTTAGATAAAAATAGATCAGTGTCCGAGTCAGTGCAGAGAAGTGCTGAGTACCCAGGGAGGTGGGAACATTGCAGAGATGCAGTATTTGCCTTGCAAAGATGCACTTGTATGGAGCAGCGTGTTTCACCCCACTTCCATTCACCGGCTTCATAAACCAAGCACACGAAATGTCTGAAGGTGTTCCCTTGGCAAAAAGCTTTGGGATGAGGATGTGCCCATTCCCGTGCTTTTGGCCAGGACCATGTGGGGCTGCAGCCTCTGCTCACACAAACCAGACTGAGCTAAGAAAAGGGAAACGGCCTCACTACCCTGAATGCTCTTGTAGTGATGGATAATTTGGTGCTGAAACAGACTAAGAACAGTGTTTTGTGCAGTTAGAACCAAGAATAAACTTGGGCTGTCCTGATATAGCCAAGAGATGGACTGGTCGGGGCTTGGGCATCCTTCAAGCACCACATCTCCACTACACCCCTTAATGAACATGACTCCTGGACCCACACTTGCTTCAAGCCATATGGCAATAACACACAGACCTGGACAAGAAGAGTCTTGTGAGCACCCTGAGCCACAACAGCTAGGCTGGTGGCCTGAGAAGAAACCCATCTCACTCACATGGAGGCCTTACCATTGGGTGGTGTGAAGAACGTGGCGCTGTTGTAGTAATCCAGAGATATGGGCTCCCTGCAGGAAAAGCAGTCAGAGTTAGCTCCTCTTGCCCACAGCCTGAGCTAGAAGAGAGATAGGGCTGCACTGAGACCAGTATGGCTCTGCTCCATCATGCTGGTGGGCAGCACCCAGCTACTTACACGTAGGCATCATCCCCTTGCAGGCAGTCTTCTGCAAGCATAAAAGGTTTGCTGTCAGCACAGATACCACTGCATGGACCCAAACCAGCATCCCAAAGCACAGCTGGACAAATGCCCCAAGCACAGCTAAAGCAGATGTCCCCAGCACAGCCCCCAAGACCATCCACATGCAGAGCCAGGAGGCTGGAGCAGGGGGAGGCAGCCCTGATCCACCCCAGGCCTTGAGAAAACCAGGGCTCATGGACAGATCCTGCCAGCTGGCAGGGAGATCAGGAATATTCTCCCTGGTTTGGGAAAGGAGAGCACAGCCCCATGCACCAGTAATCCTCTTAGGGTCAGCGTGTTTTACATGCAATCACTACATTAACCAAGCCCAGCTGCAGCGTTGGCTGCCTGCGTGTTCCCATCAGTTCCCCATCCCTGTAACTTCCCATCACCTTTCCTCCCCAGACCCCTGGGCCGTAGCATTTACCTGTCCAGAAATCCCGATACCTGGACTCGGCCCTGCTCCCTGGGGAAAAGCAGAGGGATGCCTTACACTCAGGCTGACAAATGGGAGCAGTTCAATGACGGAAAGACTGAGCATTCTGGCATCAGCAGCTTTGTCCCCACTCAGCTCTTTGGGGCCAGGGCTGCAGGACTGAATGCCCTAGATACTGGGACAGCCAGGGGTGATGCTTGGAATAATCTGGCCCTGTGTTTCTAACCAGGACTGCTCAGCACTGGATTTTCAACTCAGACCCAGGCTAGGTCCTGTTAAGCATCACTGTGCAGCACCATGAGTAGTGCTGCTAACAAGAGTGAGCTTTATCACTGCCCATCTTGTTCCCAGGATAACACCTCATTGCCCTGCCCACATCTGGCTGTGAGTAACCAGCCTTGCAGAGGCTCCATCTTCCCAGTGGGAGCTCCCAGCAGGCACCGACACAAATGAGCCAGGATTTGCAACATCCCCATTTAGGAATGGGGTGCTCCCCTGTGGGTGGGGAGAGCATCGCACCAGCTCCCGTCCCAGGGGGATGCTCACCGTATCCAGCGTGATGGGTGGCACAGAGCTCCTTGGTGGTTTTCCTGACAGAGGGAAAAAGGAGCTAAAATTCCAGGTCTGAGCAAACAGCAACAGGGTTACAAACCACAGCAGTGACTAAGCCAGAAAGACCATGTGCCAAACCTGCCTGCAAGGTTATGACAGGATACACATCGAGCAACGCGAGATGAAGAGCCTGGAGTCAAATCCCGAGATGGGAATAACTGTGCTTGAATACTGCTGCAGAGTTGTTGCAGCCATGGAGTTCAGGAGGGGGTTGGTGATGGGGAGAAGGGGATTTCTTGTGCCAAACTGCTTATAAGCAAAGAACGGCCACTTCTTTTCCATGACGTGCCTGTTATGTACAGCCACAGCTCATTTCCTTGGATTCAGGTTAAGTAGTTGCCAGCAGAATGCAGCCAAACTGCAGAAAATCCAGAAAAAGCCTAAACCCGCTATTGACCATCAATAAATTAAGCAACCTGGTCTAGTTGAAGATATCAAGCACATGGCAGGGGCATGGACTGGATGAGCTTTGAAGGTCCCTTCCAACCCAAACTGTTCTATGATTCTTACACCAGCATAGCCCAAGGCACATTTATGTGTTCCAGAACCCAATCCCAAATCCAAAACATTTGCGTATCTTGGCTGAACTTATCCAACCCTGGCTCTGCAGCGGGATTTTGTTTATTTGGGGTTTGTTACCTACCTCACTATTGATAAGTTCTCAGGTTCCTTTACTTGTTCCAGCCTTCGGGTCATAGCTAGCACCAGGAACAAAACAGGGTGTTAATGGTCCTGGTAGCAGCAGGTGTTTCCAAGAGCACAGAGCATCCACCACAGAGGATCCCATGGTGCTGGCCAGCATTCTTCTAACACATCCCAAAACCGCTTCCAAAGCGTTCTTTTAAAGTTCATAAATGGCCAAAAAGGAAACAAATGGAGGGAAAGCTGGTGTCTGTGCAGAGCGCCGAGCTGGCAAACACACACCAGAGGAAGCTGCAACCCCAACTGCTGCCTTATTGCCTGTTCTCCCCCAAACCTGTTCGATTTGGAGCCTTTCCCATGCTCAACACCCGTCCCTTCACACTGCAGGATGCATCGGTACGTTGCGATGCTGCGGTTGGGCTGGGCTGAAGCAGAGACATGCAGGGGGTTATGGAGCTCGGGCCCAGGCAGGTGCCAGGAATGGGACCCTGCAGATGGTGACATTTAACGCGGACCCATCAGCAGCTCGCGTCGGGATCACAATCAAAAGGTCAGTGTCTAACCCAGCTTGCTGCAGGAAGCAGGAAGGGGGCGATGGTTAATGACTCACTATCAGTTTGGGTTCCCCCACGCTGTTGTTTGCACAGGGTGAGCAGAGCCGTTTGAAGAGCCCCAGTTAATAAGAGGCTGCGCTTTGATGATACTGCTTTAGCCATCTATTTTCAATGCAAAGGGAGATCCTTTTCCTAGAGCTCAGAATCCACACGCCTAGGAGCATCTAAGGTGGCTTTTACAATCTCAGTCTCATGACATTTCATCGTCTGGCTTCAAGGTGACTCTGTTTACTCCCCCCAGTTCTGTGCATGCAGGACCTGCCCCCTGCAATGTAGGAGCCCTGCAATGCTCATACTCACTGGAATGGGATCGGATCACCTCAAAACTCTGCCGGCTTCTGAGCCTGGAAAAAACAGAGGTACAACCTCAGCTGAATTTTGGAAAGCAAACGCAAGAGACCTCCCTGTTTGGTGGGTGGAGGGAGGAGAGCACAGCCTCCACACTGGGCTGGATGAAACACAGAGGGAGCATCGCTCAGCACATCATGTAGGACCTGTTATGAGCTGGGAACAGTGTCCCAGGCTCCAATTTGTCCCTTTAAAGTCAAGATGTGTTTATGGGCCACTGGCAGAGCAGCCAATGTCAGCTCAGAGAAGGACTTGGGATGAGGAAAACATCGTTTAGGATAATTCCTGTTCTGACACTTTAGGAATGGGTTAAGGCCAGAAGAGTATTTTCACCCACAAAAAACTTGGGTGCTCACCCATGAAATGGCTTCAAACCCCACTGCTTCACCTCTGCTGCTGTCCCCGGCCCTCCCAACATCCCTTAACATCAACTTGAAAGCAATAACATACAAGATCAACAATAACACAGATGCCTAGTAACCACGTTTTAGTTAACACGAGAGCTGCTCTTTAGAGCACAAGAGGATTCAACAGCTCTTCCACGGCAGGTGCATACGGGCACCTATTAACTCTGATTTTGGGACCCTGAAAGCATCCCCTTCCTCCCCTTTCCCTTGGGTCACCCCCTGTCCCAAGCCAGTATTCATGGCACAAAGCTGGCCATGGTAGATGAGGTGTCCAAGGACCTCACTACAAGGTCTGCAAACATAGAGTTAACCTACTCTGCTTGCAGAAAGCCTGAACTACCCCAAAACCAGATCTCTAACAGGAGCAGGCACCACCGTGAGCCTGAAACCAAACCACCTCATCCAGGTATCAGTTCCAAGGAGTCAGGACAATTCAACACAAGCCCATGGGGGACAGAGCCTGCGCTGGCTTTAACATCAGTCTGCGATGGACCACATCAGAGCTTTCCCCCATCCTCGGCAAGCAGAGCCAAAACAAACACCCTGACCCCACATAGGCCTTGCAAAGCCCCTTTGCACCGTGTTTACTCCTATATCAAAGGTTACAAGCCAGCTTTTTCACCTTTTCCTTTTATCACCAAGCTGTGGTTTGTCTGTTGCTGGAGGAAACAAGTGGGGTGCGGTGTGTACAATGCATTTCCTTCACTGCTCATGCTGCAGGTCGGTGGTTGCTCTGGCTCAGGGTCCCACCATGACCAGCCAAGGGCCTTGTTTATGAAGTTACCAACCTCTCTACCTCATCTTGGGGCACAACAGGGCAGGATAAGGACTTGCCCTTTCAATTCTCACAGAGCTTCTCCCAGCTGGTGAATGACTCACAGGAACCACGGTCAGAGCTGCAGTGTCAGTTTGGGTGGTTCTTTGTAAAGGCACTACCCCTTCTGCTGCCCCGCATTCCCCATTCTGGGGTTATTTTATCCCAGCTGTGATCCACGGAGCGGGTCTGGCTCTGGCCAGGTCTCACCCTGAGTGAGCTGTCTGGGGAGAAAAAGCAAAGGATTGGGAAAAGCAACTTACTGGCTCCTCCGGTCATTCAGCTGCTTCTCTCGCTTGGTAGCTGGAAGATAAGGAGAAAAAAGCCCTTAGAAAAGGATCATTTGGGAGTTAAAGATCAGAAAGACCAATAAAACACAGTCACAAACCTTCCTCACCCAGGAGCATGCAAGGACAGCAGAAGCCGCAGTCGTGATGCAGTTTTGACTGATGCTTTTAAACCGTGCTTGTATTATCTCAGACACCAGAGCAAGTGACCCATTCCTGTCCCCTGAACTGCAGCCTCTCTGCCCCCGCAAAGCCCATACCGTGCTCAGAGGTGGGTTCAAACCCCCACTAGGGTGGCTGCTCACCCATTCTCTTTGTACTTAGTGTCTGTCTGGATTCATCCCCCAGACTCTCCTCCTGCCCATCTGCCCCAGAGCCTCTGCATCCGGAGATGCTCCTCCGGGGTGGGTTTTCCCAAAGCCACCCCCCACAGTGAGCAGGGAGAGGGGTCTGCAGCCCAGGGTGTCGCACCCACCCCAGGGAAGGGGTGCTGTGAATCGGAGGCTCCTTCCCTCAGTTGCTCTGTGACCACCAGCAGAGACCCTAGAGCATCCCTGCGAGGGCAAAGCTCCTTGAGCTGGCACATGGCTGAGCAGAACCAAACCCTCCGGGAGGGAACGTCCCAAGAGCAAAGGGGTGTACGGGGCCACAGGCAGCACCCAAACCACATGGTCAGGACCTTACCCGAGCGCTGGCACTTGGCGCAGAGGCTGATGGCAGCCCCCAGCAGCATCAGCGCGGCAGCTGCCCACAGCAGCTCCATCTGCACCATGGCCCAGCCGCATCCAGCCTGAAACAGAGCAGCAAGGGTAGCCTGTGAGCACTGGCATGCTTCCACCCCCCCAGACACATGCCCTTTGCCTTCACAGCCCCAAAGGGCCGGGTGCTTGCTGAGGGTGCAGAACAGGCTTTAGGGTTGTGTTACAGGGCGGCAGAGCAATGCCCTTTCCATGCTGCTCTGGTCTGGGGCCCATGCACACTTAGTGCTCCACTAAGACCTGGAGGTAAACCCCTATTTCATTGTAGGGAAAGAAAAGAGACTCATGAAGATCGCCTCAGGACAATAGCACAAAGAGGAAAACCACACTCGGGTCTGCTCATTCCCACTCCCATAACACACTTTGCCGTCATCAGACACTGCCAGAAGATACCGTCTGTTGGTATCTGGAAGAGAGGCAAAAAGGGCAGCTTTGAATATTCCCAAGTGCCTCCAAGACCTTTGTACCAGAAGCTTTGGCTATTTCCCTGCAGCACAGAGTTACTTTAAATGCTAAATCCCCCACAGTTTTTCCTGCCTTGGGCTGGCTCAGACACCAGCTCTTCCCCTCCCTTCCATGAGAGGCTCTTCCACGAGCAGCAGTAACACTTTGTAATGATCAGCATGATTTGGCTTCAGTTTCTTCCTTTAAAATACAACCCACCCTATAAATACCGCAGCAACCGGCCTGCTGGGAGCGAGAGGGATCCTTTCCCCCATTGCTATTCCCCAGGGATGGATTTTTCTTTACTTACAGATTATTTTAATCTATTTTTGTTTTTTAATAAACTTCTCCTTTGGCCCCTAGGGATGGGGAGACTTCAACTTGCCAAAGGCCAGGATGTCACTGCTCTGCCTGCAGGAAGATTTCCTATTGCCTAACTGCCATCTCCCTTATTACAGTTTAAGCCTGTACTGTGCTGGTATAGCCACTGTGGTTAAAAGGAGGAAATGTGTGTATATAGATTGGAGGAAGTACAGATATATGTAAAATAATTACAATAATTAAAACTATTTAAACAAATAGCAATAAAAGACAATAGGAAACGGCCTCTTGGTTCTACCCTGCTCAGCACCATCTGCTTCCGTGTGTGTAAAGTAGAATAAATAATGATTCTCTGCCCAAACTCAGATTCCCCATTCACAGTGGAGAAAACTCTTCCTGCAGCAGCCCAGCCCTCGATGCTGACCAAGCATCCTCCTGCCCATGCCAGCTGCTCAGTGCTGTATCCAGGGATGCTGGTGGAAGGTCTGTGGTCCAGATTGGCATTGGAGTCCTAGTCCTATGCCACTGTCATAATGACCATGGCGTAAATCAGTGTGAGGCAGAGGAAAGAAAGGAAATACCCAGTCTCCCATTTCTGCTTTGGACAGCCCCTCGAGCACAGCATTGCCCTGTCCCTGCCAGGAGGGAGGGACTGCAGAAGGACAGGGTGAAGTTTGGTGTCAGCATCCTCTCAGTGATGCCCACACACAGCCTGGCTGCCCAAAAGTGACCCCACACCCACCACAAGTTGGCTTTGAGACCATCTTCTCTGCTTGTGAGCAAAGTGGGTCTATTTCTGCTCCCTTCGAGGCTGCCTTGAAGGGCTCACAAGGACACAGCAGCTCCCAGCACTCGCTGCACTGTGGCTTTGCTCTTTATAAACTCCCCAGGGGCCTTTCCCCCAGAGTTTCTTGCAGCACGTTCCGAAGATGATGGGATGAGCTGTGTTAAATTAGCAGCATGCCCAGAACACCATGGACCTGCCCCAGGGGTGCAGGACCAGCACCCAGTCAAAACCATGCGGTTTATCACATCATTTTCCCTTGGCTCAGCATCCCCCATGGAAATCATGAGCTGTGGATCACCTCAAAAGCATCTGCAAGAGGCAGCTAAGGGAAGCTGACCCTATGCTGGTGACTGAAATTCATTATACAAAGGGCTGCAACACTGCTGGTACAGTTGTGGGGTTGGGAGGGGGTGTTTTGGCTTCCCCCCCTCTTTTTTCTTTCCTTTAAAGATCAGAGCTGAAAGCACCTGATTACACTGACCCCTTCTGTACTGCTGCAGGGCAGGCTGCCATCTCCTTTCCACAGCTGGGTTTGTTTCTGCAGTGGGGCAGTAACACCACAAACCCAGGCTGCTCCCAAGCCCCTCACTCAACGGGAACACCAATGGTGGATATTTGCAGTGATGCCGAGCAGGGCACTACACATCCCATCCCCATCACAGCATCCCCCATGGAGAAAGCTCCTGCAGACGCCAAGCCAGAAGCACAGCACCAGCCCAGGGGTTGTTGCTTGTGTTCACCAAACACTCAAGTGCAGGGATATCCTCTCTTTGAGCCCAGAGCTCCTCTCGTAAGGAGCCGATGGGAGGAGGTGATGAACAGATTTATGACGAGCAGACGGCTGGCAGCATATAAATGCAGTCTTTGGAAGGCTGAACGTGCTTTCCCTGCTCCCTGCCTTGGGGAGATGGGAGAGGAGAAAACACAAACCCAAGCTACTGAGGTCTGTGATGAGGCCCGAGTGCATCCGAAGGATGCACCAAGTTAATGACTTGCTTTCAAGGTGCTAAATTCAAACATGGGGAGAAAACAGGTTCGCATCTAGCTCCAGGAGTGACACTCGGACGCTGTCGAAATGCCCTGTTCTGTTTCTGCACTTCCCTGTTCTCCTTTTCTATTGGTTTTTCCCCACCATTTCGTGCTGACAGAAGTTCCTCCTTGCATGAGGAAACTGGTGCGGCCACAGCGCGTGCCTCTGGCACCAGCACTGCCAAATCCCCCAGGAGCAGCCGCTCCCAATGAGCGATTCCAGGGAGAACATCACACCGGAGGCTGGGTAAAGGCACGGTCCCCGCAGCACAGCACCTCTCCTGGCAGGGGGAAGCACGCCTTCTGCACAGGGGCTGCTCGTTTCATGGCCTCGGGTATTCATAGCAAAGAGACAAACAGGGTTTACAATGGGAAGAATGAATTTGCCAGTCATAATTCCCTGTGTACGTGCCAGCCCCATCAGCTGGTGTGGAGGGTTTCTAGTCCTAAATGAAGGATTAAACCCAGTGACAGGGCTTACTATAAACAGCCAAGGGAAGGAGAGGTTGTTTTACCAGGGAAGACTGAAAAGGTCTCTCACTTTGAAGTCTACTAAAGCAGAGGTTGAGAGTGCATGGACATTAGGGTGAGATACTTCTCACCAAAGTGAGAAAAGATGCTATTTAAGTAAGAGAATACTTGCTTCTAAAATGAGTGGCTGTAAGGGGGATATGCACAGGCTAGAAAGAAAGTTCCTAATGGATGGAAAGCCTGGAGGATCCTTCCAAGGGCAGCAGAAGAGGCAAAAAGCCCACTTAGAAACCCTTTAAGAGCACTTCAACCATACTTAAACTCTTTGATGAAAGCCCAGGAGAGCGTGGAATGTGTTGATGTGGCAAAAAGGGCAGGTTTTCTGCAAGATCACTCTTAAGGGAGTCATTTCAGCCCTTTGCAGGCACCAAGCGCAGCCCTCAAAGCCTCTCACGTTGTAAGAGGAGGACTGAAACTGCAGGTCTATACCGTGCACCCAACCTAGCTGTACAAATAAACGCCCCAAAGGCAAATACAAAGCAGCCATCGCGTGTCCCCTCCAGAAAGCTGTGTGCTCTGCACCAGTCTGCGATAGAGTCAGCCTAATTCGGACTGACTGGATGAGTCACGGCAGGAAATGTAGAGTTTATTTAGAAGCTCGCCATATGAAATTAGCACAGGGACTCCTCGCACAGCCGCGCCGCTCTCCCTGACTCAACGTCTCCAAGGCAAGAAGCACTGCTTTCTGCTTGTCTGCCTTGCACGGATTGCGCCAGCAAGTCCCATCCATGGAGGAACTGAAGTCTCCAAGGGAGCTCCTGGGTTGGAACCACTTCAAGGACCAGTGCTGAGCCTCCAGCAAAGCTCCTTTCCAAAGGCCTCCATGTCCCATTTCCCACCAGTTTGCTTCGGAAAGCTGCTGCTGTATAGATAAGGTCTGGTTTTCTACAGCTATTCAATTCAAGCAGACCCTGATTCACTTTACACCAAGGGAGCAGTAGATGCATTTCAATAGAACACAGGACAAGAGAGAAAACAGGAATCGATAGATGAGCTTTCACGTAGATCATCACTTTGTAAAATGCTTTAAAACACCTCAGGTGGGAAACACAGCACAAAATCCTAATCACAAGCAGCAAGGCAGCAGAAATACCGTGTATTTATCCTTAACTTCCCCCGTTTCAGGCAGCATCAAAGCCATGCAGCATCCTTCACCACTGCTGTGGAGTCCGGGGGGATGCCATGTTAGGAACCGCAGATATGGGCAACCCACATGGATGTAACTCAGTACTCTTACATAGTCCAGAGCGATGAAATGAGCTAATATCACACAAAATTATCCCAAAATTATCCTGTTCTGCTTAAGTGTCTACCTCTTGGCCTGTATCACACTGAACATTGATCACAAGAGAAAACTTCCGCAAAAACAAAGCTCTTTTCATCCAGGATTAGCAATTTCAAGCCTTTATATGCAGTAAAAGACAGACAGTCATATACCTAATGCCAGTCAGCCCTGAAACTGCTGGAAAACACAGAGAGTGGAGCTCAAGTCAGCTATTACATAGGATCGGGCTTTGGAAGGGGAAACAGAGCAGACTGCAGCAGCCCCAGAAACTATAGGCAGGAGCCAGCAGCAGGACCGATGGGATGTGGGATGAGGGCAGCTCAGCCTCAGTCTTCTAGAATATTGCAGTAGAGGTGAACACAGAAATCATGCAATTGAAAACCATCACCAGCTGGAGCGGGGAGTGTAAAGAATAATCTTGTGAGACAGGTTGCATGGGGCAGAGTCTCCTCTTGGGTCAGAGGGGCATAAATGCCGCCAGGAAGAGTTATTATTCACACCTTGGAGGTGCTCAGAGGTCGTTTTCACACCTTGGAGCCTGTCGGGTGACGGCCACGAGCAGCAGTGCGGGGTAACTCCCAGCGTGTGGCTTTCAGAAGGGTTTTCCAGGGGTGACTCCTCTTTAAAGAGGGTGACCGAGGTCCAGCCCAGGATCTCCGAGCTCACTGAAATCAGTGCCCCCAAAGCCGCACACAACCCCGCGGGCACTTCTGTCCCCGTCCCTCCTTCCCTCTCCCACCTTACCCTCACTCAGCTCAGCCGCTGTCCGCCCTGGTTCCCATCTCCTCCGGTCTCTCACAGCCAACAGCCACCAACGCTGGAGTCGGCTCCTCTGAGCTTCTGGTTTCCTGTCACCATCTGAATCACTCACCCCAGCATCCGCCGGTCAGCCCCTCGCTGCTCGCCCAGGCTCACCCCGGCCAGGAGTTTATCAGCCACAGGGAGAGGAAGAGGCCGGGCTGGTGAGGAGCCCTGCGGCTGCCAACGTCCCTTCCCAAGCAACCCTTGGGGCTCACATGGGGCCGGTGCCCCCCAGAAGTGCTTTCAGCGCAGCGCCGGGGCGGGATCTAACACCGCGCACTGCGAGCGCCGGGTGCCGCCTCGAAAACCTCGCAGCAGGTAAAGCCAAACTGCAGGTTCTCTCTTAGGTTTTTATAGCGGAGATGATGCCTTCGAGGCAGCAACAGCCCGAGGTCAGCGCTGCGAGCAGCCAGACCCGGAGCTGTAATAAAGCTGCTCCTGACACCTCAGCGTCGGCGGTTCGCAGGCATCAGACACCGTTTCACGGCACTCCTGAAAACCCAGCGGTAGTTCCTTGGTGTTTTGGTGCTTAACGAGGAGAAGGAGGGTTTGTGAATAACGGGGAATTGATCTGCTGGCTCAGAGCCCCGGTACAGCGCATGAAATACGTGTCCCGCTCTAGGTGCGTGTGCAGCAGCCCTATGGAGCTGTGGCTACTGGAGCACAACAGCCAGGCGGGGCACATGCTTTACAGCCGCAAACACAACAGCGCTCCGTGCTGGCTGCCACTGAGGCTCTGAACACTCCTCTCGCACACAGGCACCTACATTATTCAGTAAAGGGAAATTCTGTTGTATTTAAAGTAGGGCGCTCTCAAGCTGCCAGAAGCAGTCACCCACATCCACCTCTGTTATAGAGGCTGACTCTGTCACAAGCATTACACAATACCCAGCTTTTGCCGTGCCGGGATGGAGCTTTCAGAGGAAACACTGCGTTGATAAGAGCTCACCACTGCACATACAAACACGTTCACACTTTCTTACAGCTCTAACCCAAGGTACAAAAGTCATTGCTTTGATGAGCATCACAGAGACTTTCCCACACAAAATGTGGGCGCAGGAGCCTATCCTGAAACGAGAACCAAAGATCAGAAGACCCAGCCTTGGCTAGCTCGTGTGGTATCCTCTGTATAAAGGATACTTATAGAATGCTTTCCTGACTGCTAAAACAGTTGCTGCAGAATTGGCCTTTCTAGCAAAGGTCCTCACTATGAAGTAGTTTATTAGGGGCTTTCTAGTGGTTTTTTAAATGTATTTAAACATAACCTAATAACAAAAGTTATACAAAGGAGTTCTTTATAGCAGAATTGATGCTCTGAACACGCTGGAGACAACTGCAGCTCGGTTTTCAGATCAGAAATCAATTTCACTGGGACCAGCCACTGCCAAGCAGGTCCCATGTATTTGCTTACAGGTTCTCTGGTGGGTCTCACGGCTCCGGAGATGACTCAGTGCTGCTGTACAGACGTTACCACAGTCGGCAATGAAGGCACCTTGTGTTAGCCCCCTACTTGTCTCCTGGACTGATGCACACATCAGCTCAGCCTCTCCAGAAGCTGTTGTGCCCAAGGGGGAAAGCAGCAGGGTCACTGCCAGCGCATTACAGCGGTGATGCCCTTCAGAGACCTCAGTCCTCTTAAGGGGGCAACCACCTCGATGTCTAACCTGGATGCAGAGGTGATCACTGCAGTAACATGTACCACTGCAGATGCTATCTCCCTGCTTCCTATTTCTCATGAGAAGAGCTTGGTGCAGGGATTCAGGATGAGAGCACTTACCCTGAGCACCTACCAACA